TTTTCAAGGACGTTGGTGACGTCAATCGCCAAAGACGTTGAAAAATGACAGTCGATTGACCGCGGACATTGTCAACGATGTTCGACAGTAACTACGGAACGGTGCAGTCAACTCTGAGGATCTAAAAATGATAATAGTTAATGCATTAATTACATGTATTGTATTCTTAGTTTACAATTGTATCAATTATTTTCTTATTTTACGCAGTAGTTTTATGGAGAAATTGTGTCAACAATTTAACAGCCACTGTTCAAATTGGCTATGCGTTTTATTTATTTTTAAATAATGACAATTTTGATCATACATAGTTGTATTATTCTGTTATTTTTTTCGTATGAATGATACATTATCATTCAGCTCATTATTTTACATTATTTGTATTACATAATATAGTAAATTTCATGGACGATTTTTTCAACATCAAGTTACAGAAGGAAATAACGGAAGTTTGCGTCATTACAGGAGCTCTTTATCACCATTCATTCTATTACAATACAATATGATACCCACTTGAACAGAAATATATATAGGCAGGGGATCCGCCGCATCAATAACATGACTGTACCACATATTGGCCTACTCCGTGAATGGGTAAAAATCTGCTCTGTTAAGGACAATACGCTTGCGACGTCTTTACGTCAATTTTAAAGTTATACCGTGCGCCGCATTGCTTTACATGTGCATGCCAATAACAGCATAACTTTTTTCTTTGTTAATATTTCTTGTTGGTATTTTTTGTATCATTTAGGGGATAGATTACGATTTATTTTCCGTGCATTGTTATGTAAATTCATTTAACAAGTTAAGAATCATTTACAAAGTCCGGTTAATTTTTGATCATCCCTCGTATAATGCTCAAATGAAGATTTATCAATATTGTAAGTTCCAAATAGCATTATTTGTAAAGATATTACTTAATTTACATTTCATGTTAATAAAGGGAGGTAATTAGAAATTTGTTAAATATTTTACATATTCTTCTGTGTTTGAAAATTGTTTTTGAAGCATAATTATATACACTTAAGTGTGGTAAGAACCTCACAACATACAGGATCTTTAACTTAAAAGTAAACTTGCACTCTTGGGATTTGCTTGTGGATTTATTCAGTATTTGTAAAGTTCTTGCCCTTGACTTAGTAAAAGAATTTTAGTTTTCAACTTGTGGCACATGTAAAAAATTTTTGACCTAAAGTCATAAGATTGACTAAACAGCGGAGTGTGGGGGCACCTATGGACACATTTCTAGTTTTACTTGAAAAATGTTATTTTTTACTACAACTTCTTCTACCTCAAACTTCAAATACTTATTCCTTATCATCAATTACATCCTATGTGACATTACTTAGGTTCAAAACTCTTGAAGCTATAGTTTCAGATTCATCTTTGAACTTAGGATTTTCTTTAAGAAATATATTATAACTTCTTTACTTCAAACTACTTCAAACTTAAAATATATATTTCTTATCTTTACACACATGTTGTGTGACAAGGTTCATACCTCTAGCGTGACTATTTCCAGAATTATTCCCCCTTGAACTTGGAATTTATGTTAACAAATGTTATTTTTTTACTATAACTTAATACATAATTATACTTCATTGATTTTTCTTCATAGTTTTGTCTTCCTTACTGCGTCCAGTATTTTATTAGTCAGGCTTCGCTGTCTCCTGTGACTGCTCTTGTTAATGTTGGTGTGACTTTAAACCAAAGCTAAAACATTTGGCTCCATGAACATATTGATAAGAATAAGAGATGGTGTTTGAATTCCAATGTTTTATGAATGTTTGTCCATTATGATAAATTCAAGATTGGAAATGCCAAAGTTTAAGATACTGACAATTGATTATGCCAAGCTTATTCATGTTGATAAAATGTTATGCTTTCTAATTTGATAAAACTCAGTGTTTCCATGGTTTTCATGATGCATTAATATTAAGATGTCGATACTATCTTATGTAACATTTAAATGGACAACATCAGGATTTCAATATTGAGGGCAATCAGTTAAAGAGAGTAAGACAAGATTCACAATTAACATTAAAATCAAAATGTAGTTCAATGTAATGTTTTTAAAATATGGTAAGATAATTCTGATACATACGGTACACTATATATAGTATCAAATTGCTGAAATAAAATGTTTTTTGTTGTTGTTTTTTTTAAAGATAAAGAAAAAAAGTACTTTTTATTTCTTGACCTTTGATTATAGTTTTTCTGTTTTATACTTACCTGTTTTCTACACAAGTTCCCTCACATGCATCAGATGAAACATTGGTGAAATCATTTGGTATTAAAGCAGCATGCCTTCAGATCCATGCTTATTTTCAGGAAAATTTTAAAAATGTATTTAAAAGTAAATATTGCAGAGTGAATAAAGTAAGTAATTTTTACATTGCAAAGGACACTTATAATCCATGTTTATTACCAAAAAGATGTCAAAATATGAAAAAATAGTCTGTCCTTCATTAGTCATGCAGTAAGAAAACTAGTTGAAAAATACTCCATGAAAATAAGTATCTGAATATTTTTACTTTTCTTTAAATCTTAGTGCATCATCACAAAGTTGGGACATGCAGCTTTAAACATATTTAAGTCAACCAAATCATCAAAAAAATGATGTCCTTATAATTATTTTTCAATGAAAATATTTGCATGCTTACATGTATTGGGAGAAATAAAGATTATGTTATGTATGTAGAGAGTTAAACTTGTATACTTAATTGTCTTTACTTTAATAAGCTGCCAAACTGTTTACTTTGTATCAATAACATTGTAGATGAAATCAATTTATAATTAGACAAAAAATGTAGCAGATTGCATCAATAATGATATAATCAATTATCTGTCAGAGAGAGATCTACCTATAGAAAGCCTTGTTAACACAATATACAGTAATTCCTAGAATCAGATAATATATATAAATAAATTATATCAAAAACAAAATAAAAAAGAAAAATAAAGCATCACTAGGTTGAAACTTGATGAATATCTGAATACAGTTTTATAGAGTTAATTTACTCTAAACAAAGCAAAATGAAAGGTCTCACTAGGACACAAGTTGCAGAAATTTAGTTATTGTGCCATCCATCCCATCCAAATCTTCAATCCCAAACCCCATCCCATCTCATCCATCTTTACTGTCCTTGAATATAATCAATAACTTCTTAAATTTTTTCTTTTGGTGATTTTCTTTCAGTGTTGTTTAAAGAATTTTATTCTATCCAGAACTCTTGTTGTTGTTTCTTTTGCCATAGCAACCAATATGAAAATATTTTTATAATCTCCATGTCAAAAACTGTTAGTCTCATTTTGATATTAATTCTCAGAAGTAACCCTCCACCAAAATTGTTAGAATAATTTTTTTTTATCAAAATACAATTGGTTGCTATTTAAAGTGTCACTTCTTCCTGGCAGTCTGGAAGTCGTTTTTTCCACGTTTTGTTAGATGAATATAATATTATTCTGTTGAGTGGTTTATGGGCATCTTTATCCTCAATAATTAAATTTCAGTTCTCTTTCAATATATTTATGTATTACAAAATAATTACACATATATGAGTGAGTTATCAATAGCAAGTGTTGAGTCTGGTATATTGTCATTATACAAGGAAATTCAATGGGGCGACCATGACTAAGATCATTTACAGGGTCTGACTTTCAACCACTGTCTCTGACTTTCAGCTACTGGCTCTGACTTTCAACCACTAATTGCTCTGACTTTCAACCACTGTCTCTGACTTTCAACCACCAACTCTGACTTTCAACCACTGTCTCTGGCTTTCAGCCACTGGCTCTGGCTTTCAACCACAGGATCTGACTTTCAACCACTGTCTCTGACTTTCAGCCACTGGGTCTGACTTTCAACCACTGTATCTGACTTTCAACCACTGGCTCTGGTTTTCAGCCACCAGCTCTGACTGGCACTAACTTTCAACCACTAGCTCTGACTTTCAGCAACTGGCTCTGACTTTCAATAACTGGCTCTGACTTTCAACCACTGGCTCTGACTTTCAACCACTGTCTCTGACTTCCAACCACTGGCTCTGATTTTCAGCACATTCTCTGACTTCCAATCACTGGCTCTAACTTTTAGCCACCAGCTCTGGCTTTCAATCACTTGCTCTGACTTTCAATCGCTGAATCTGAATTTCAGCTACTGGGTCTGACTTTAAACCACTGTCTCTGACTTTCAGCTACTGTCTCTGACTTTCAGCCACTTGGTCTGACTTTCATCCACTGTATTTGACTTTCAACCACTGGCTCTGGTTTTTAGCCACCAGCTCTGACTTTCAATAACTGGTTCTGACTTTCAGCCACTGGGTCTGACTTTCAACCACTGTCTCTGACTTTCAACCACTGGCTCTGGTTTTCAGCCACCAGCTCTGACTTTTAATAACTTGCTCTGACTTTCAACCACTGGCTTTGACTTTCAGCCACTGGCTCTAACTTTTAACCACTAGCTCTGACTTTCAGCAACTGGCTCATACTTTCAATAACTGGCTCTGACTTTCAACCACTTGCTTTGACTTTAAATCGCTGGCTCTGACTTCCAGCCACTGGCTCTGACTTTCAACTACTGTCTCTGACTTTCAGCCACTAGGTCTGACTTTCAACCACTGTATCTGACTTTCAACCACTGGCTCTGACTTTCAGCCACTGGCTCAATGCTGTGGGTTTAAGTCTTAACATATGCTATGTATTCTTGCCTAAATTAAATGTACAGAGAGTCACTCAACAGAAAAGCTTATCCCCAGATCTGTGTGGCTAAAACCAAAACAACAATGAAATTTAATGTACATTGTATTAGATAGATCAAGACTGAGACAGGATGAAGCATTCAGCATTTTCCTTCCTCCCACAGATAGTTTAGTTTGGCAACAGAAGAAGATTAACAACAAAAGTAACCATTTAAAAACAAGTTAGACAACAAAATGAACCTATTCTTTCTGATTGTTTTACTTTATAAATTGACAATATAGCCCATTTGTTTCTATTTTCAGAAAAAGCTGTAGCAGTATCGGACAAAGTTTTTGTATGTAGATCACCCAACAGTCTGTGGTACGTAATACACATCTTTATTTCATTACAAGGACTTGAAATATTTGTCACAATGAGTTAACAACATTTGTTGTTGTTTTTTTTGGTCCTATGTGTTAACTCTGTGCTTCCAAAGTATTTTGGCTCCTTCATATAGTAGAAATAAGACAAATAAAAAAACTGTATTGAGGTTTTTTATAGTCTTAAATTTAAAGAAATGTATCAATTTGATTTAAGAATATTTGGAATAAAATAATATTCTGGCAATATATGGGCCTTCAGGATAAAGTTTGCACTCCGTGTAAAGCAGATTTGAGTGGCAGAATTGAGAGTTTTCTTAATTATGTTATTAATGAAGAAGCCAAATTAAATCTTAATCTTAAAATCTAGGAAAGTACATTGAACATTCATCTCTTTTATTATACCCCCAAAAACGAAGTTTGGGGGGGTATATAGGAGTCACTTTTCCTTGTCAGGAGTATAACTTAAAAACTACTAGTTGGAATTCAATACAACTTCATGACATCTTCAAGCACATTAAGAGGAAATGCAGTGCACAAGAACAATAACACTATTTTGACAAATTACAGAGTTATTGCCCTTTGATACTTTTCCTTGTCCGGAGCATAACTTGTAAAGTACTGGTTGAAATTCAAAACAACTTCATACAATGGTCAAGCACAATAAGAGGAAGTGCAGTGCACAAGAACCATAACTCCATCTTGACTAATTACAGAGTTATTGCCCTTTGTTACTTTTCCTTGTCCGGAGCATAACTTGAAAACTACTGGTTGGAATTCAAAATAACTTCATACATTGGTCAAGCACATTGAGAGGAAGTGCAGTGTACAAGAACCATAACTCCATCTGGACTAATTACAGAGTTACTGCCCTTTGTTACTTTTCCTTGTCCGGAGCATAACTTGAAAACTACTGGTTGAAACTCGAAACAACTTCATACAATTGTCAAGCACAATAAGGGGAAGTGCAGTGCACAAGAACCATAACTCTATCTAAAGTAATTACAGAGTTACTGCCCTTTGTTACTTTTCCTTGTCCGGAGCATAACTTGAAAACTACTGGTTGGATTTCAAAACAACTTCATACAATGGCTAAGCACAATAAGGGGAAGTGCCATGCACAAGAACCATAACTCCATTTTGACTAATTACAGAGTTATTGCCCTTTGTTACTTTTCGATTGCTTTTTTTTGTCCGGAGCATAACTTGAAGACTACTAGTTGGAATTCAATATAACTTCATACAATGGTCAAGCACATTGAGAGGAAGTGCAGTGCATGAGAACCATAACTCCATCTTGACTAATGACAGAGTTATTGCCCTTTGTTACTTTTCCTTGTCTGGAGCATAACTTTAAAAATACCGGTTGGAATTCAATACAACTTCATGCAGTTGTCGAGCACATTAAGAGGAAATGCAGTGCACAAGAATTATAACTCCATTTTGACAAATTACAGAGTTATTGCCCTTTGATACTTTTCCTTGTCTGGAGCATAACTTAAAATATACTGGTTGGAAATTAAAACAACTACATACAATGGTCAAGCACAATAAGAGGAAGTGCAGTGCACAAGAACCATAACTCCATTTTGACTAATTACAGAGTTACTGCCCTCTGTTACTTTTCCTTGTCTGGAGCATAACTTGAAAACTACTGGTTGGAATTCAAAATAACTTCATACAATGGTCAAGCACAAGAACTATAACTCTGTTCAGAGTAATTATAGAGTAATTGCCCTTTGTTACTTTTCCATTGCTTTTTTCTTGTCCAGAGCATAACTTGAAAACTACTAGTCTGAATTCAAAACTATTTCATACTATGGTCAAGTATATTGAGAGGAAGTGCAGTGCACAGAAAGCATAACTCTTTTTTAACTAATTTAAAAGTTTTTGCCCTTTGTTACTTTTTATTGTCCAGTGCATAACTTGAAAATTAATGGTTGGAATTCAATGAAACTTTATACAATGGTCAAGGGCAGTGAGATGAAGTGCAGTGCACAAGAACAATAACTCTATTTGGACTAATTACAGTTATTGCTTTTGTTTCTTTTTTGTCCAGTGCATAACTTGAAAACTAGTAGTTGGAATTCAATACAACTTCATACAATAGTCAAGCGCAATGAAAGGAAGTGCAGTGTACAATAGCCATAGCTCAATCTTCAGTATTTATAGAGTTATTGCCCTTCGTTCCTTTTCCTTGTCTTTCTGGACTTCTTACAGAGTAATCCAATAAAACTTCATCAATGGCCAACCACATTGAAAGGAAATGCAACATACAAGAACCACAACTATCTTTAATTGCCCACAACAATAACTCTGTTTTAATTCTTTACAAGGTATTCTGTTACTAGTAACATCCTCATTTCCGAAGCAGTCTTGCGGGGGGGGGGGGGGGGGGGTATTAATCACATTTAGTGATAGTTCTAGTTTTATTTTGCTACATCTGTGATAATTATGAAAATTAATGTATGCAAGACATGTATATACAATGTATTAGAATATTGAAAATACAACATACTTTAGAGTTATTAGCTATAGAAAAAGTAACAGATGAGAAGACAAATGTTAAAGGCTTGTATATTCTTGATTTATTTAAAGAATTTGAAATGTTATCTACCAATTATGTTAATTAAGCCTATGAATAATTATACTTGCATCTTTAATAACTTAGTATAATATTCTAATACAAATGATAAAGAATTGAGTTCTAAAACTTTTAGACAAAAAATTTCAGCTGTTATTCATGACATCAAAAAATAATTTTGTACAGAAGTGATTATATTGTCTTTTTTCTAAACGATAATTGGTCAGCTATGTCACATTGTTCAGCAGACATCTAGATTATGAATGTCATTTTTACAGAGACAATTTGCTGGGTAAAAGCATTTCTATATTGTCTTCACTGGTACATTATATAAAATTTAACTGAATCCTGGAATTTGGGGATAATTAATATTTGTCTATATTATTTAGCTTATCTCAAGGCAAAGAAACCAAAAAGGTCGTCATAGTGTCTATTATTTTAACCCATCTCAAGGTAGAGAAACCGAAATGTCCTCAGATTGTCTATAATTTTTAACCCATCTCATGGCAAAGAAACCAAAATGTCTTCAAATTGTCTATAATTTTAACCCTCCTTATGGCATAGAAATCAAAATGTCTATAATTTTAACCTATCTCATGGCAAAGAAATCAAAATTTCCTCAGATGGTCTATAATTTTAACCCATCTCATGGCAAATAAATCATCATGTCCTCATATTGTCTATAATTTTAACCCACCTCATGGCAAAGAAACCAAAATGTTCTCAGATCGTCTATGATTTTAAACCATCTCATGGCAAAGAAACCAAAATGTTCTCAGATTGTCTATGATTTTAAACCATCTCATGGCAAAGAAACCAAAAGGTCCTAAGGTTGTCTATAATTTTAACCAATATGGCAAAGATGACCAAAAAGTCATCAGATTGTATATGATTTTAACCCATCTCATGGCAAAGAAGCCAAAAGGTCCTCATATTGTCCATTGACTTACTGGCATATGCATGTATTACCCTCCATACATTTTTTTTTACTTTTCAACCTTACTTATCACACTCTGCTTTTATCATTAAAACAATAATATTTGACTCCTGAAGGCTCAGACAGTAATAGCAACAACTATTCTCTCTATGTTTTGTTATGACAAGCTGTGATATTAATGTTCTTGCATTATTTTCTGACAAAATCTGAATGTACTTAAAAAGCCAAATTATTCTGAAGCAGTTATTACATTTCTGTATTAAAAAGAAATTTTGTCTTAGGCAATTTATTGTTTGTAACTGCTTTGTTTGTGATTCAATACGGAATCTCATAATTTTAATGAAATTTACAAATCCTTCACTTTTAATGAAATTCAGGAAATTTCAAGTTCCAACTGAAATTAGTAGCTGAAACCCTAAGAACATTACATACAATTTTCTATATGTTGATATATTTATTCTATTTTTTGTTACTTTATTCATCAGCTAGAGCTATAATTATTTCTTTATAACCAGTCATTGGATTTGATAGAAATGCTCACCTAGCTGTTTTCTATCAAGCATCCACTTGCAGGTTTAAGGTCAACATCTTGTTTGGAACGCAGCAAAATTGAAAAAAGGTCAGTCCAAAATTTTACATCAATTCTGTGTACTCTCTTCAAAAATGTCAGTTTGAAATTTATACAGTGGCTGCCATCTGTGTTCATTCCAGGATCATCTGAGAATTTCCTCTGCAGTTTATTCCTAACTTTGGAATTATACAGATATCTTTTGGCACAAAAATGTAGTAAATTTGTTTATATAAGTGTCTGCTTTGCATCACAATTTGAGTGAAATTATAAGATTTTTTTCCCACAATAAGATTCAAATGTGTTTTCAAATAATCATATGCTTTGCTTCAAATTTTAATTAAAGATGTTAGTATAAGTAGGAAACGCTTAAATAATAAGAAAGAAAGTTCCAAGGGTATATAGTTGGAAGGTAAAATAACAGTTATAATTTCTTTGAAGGCTAAATAGAAATTAATTTTCTTGAAGGCTACATATAAATTTAAATTCATTGAAAGTGAAATAAAAAAAAATTCTTTAAGGTTGATCAATAAAAATTAGATTTCATGAAACTAAATGAAAAATATGATTTCTTGAAGGTTTGATAATAATTAAAATTTCTTGAAGGCTAAATAAAAATAAACATTCTTGAAGGCTATATTAAATTTATAATATCTTGAAGGCAAAATAGAAAATGTAATTTATTGAAGGGTAAATGAAAATAATGAGTACTTGAAGGATAAATAGAAATCATAATTACTTGAAAGCTAAATAAAAATATTATTTCTGAAATGCTAAATGAAAATGAAAATTTCCTAAAAGCTAAATGAAAGTTATAATTTCTTGAAGGCTGAATCAAAAATATAAAATTGCTAAAAGATGAAGTGGTTATATTTTCTTGAAGCCTAGATAAAAATTAAAATTGCTTGAAGG